CTTTCCATATTATGTGATGAGACACGGAAGCTGAATTTGTATATATAACAGAAACAGAAATTCTATTATCGTTCTTGATAATTAAAAATATACGAAACAGAAAAACGATAAGAGGCTCAAAAGTTAAAGGTCAGTTTGAATTAATTTCCTTTTTTGGATAAAATCTATACTTTGGTCACGTTTCTGATCAGTGAACGGGTTCAAATAGTAGATAACGATGAACCCTAAACATTTTTTTTTGGAGTAATTTCTTATAAAATTTACGTCATTTTCTTTTACGATGTAACTCTTTCTTGGCTTACGATATTGTGATAATAAGATATCGGGTTAATTGGTTAAGTGATTGATATATTTATATATACAGCGTGTTTGGTAATACCTGTATAATCCCGAATATGGCACATACAGTATGATGAATAGAACCCAGAAAAATGATCACTAAGTCTGAAACCCGGCACATGACTTAGATATTTAGCTTTTTTTTTCGAAGTAAAACTGTACGCTGACAACTCTAAAAACAGCTGTTGTTCTAGGAAACGAGAGAGAGTGAGAATTAATGAGAGAGAGAGAGAGCGAGTATGCCGGGACGGCACGTATAAGCTTTCAGGGTTGTAGCATATTAATTGAAAACAAATTGTTCAAATATTTGTATGAAGATCTCAATTTACGTGAAATTGTTTTTTGACATATTAATTGTGTTCTTTGTGCTAGGTTGTATGGCGATGTTTCGGGATTATACATGTATTACCAAACATCCTGTATACTGTGTTACCACAAAAATGAAATAGAAATGATTTTTTTTATGTGTCTATGTCAGGTAGTCAAGACATTGGCAGTCTAAAATGGAATTTGAGATTAAAAATGAAAACAAAAGAGTTATCACTAATAATGGGATGATGACTAATTTATTTGTCTGTCCGTCTGGTAGTTTGCTCAAGAATATAAAAAACGTATTTTTTTATTATTAGCGTAATTTATAAGTAGATTTTAAATATTGCATGATGTCACACTTTTCTAAATTCTCTTTGGAGACGGTGGAAGTGATTCGAATTGCTTTATACCTTCGATAATACGAATGGGTACCTAGAGCATGTTATGGTCCTTCTTAAGACTGCGGTGATGTCGTGCTTGTGTTGTGGGCACGGAGAGTCGTTAAGTTTAAAAAGGTGAGCGAAGCGCTGGCTGGCTCCTGCGTCATGCTCGTGAACTGGTGCTGCTAGTGCAGCTTAGTTTGCTGTAGACTACTCTTGTCCATTTACTTTTATAATGCATATTCAACTAATTATTATCAGTTAGCTTGTGAATAGACTGACCAAAAAATTATTCATATTTTATTATTATTTTTTAATATAAAGCATTGTCAGCTTATTATTGTCAAGCAGTATCAGTGAAAAGTAGTCACAACAATCGGTCACGCTGGTATACTAATGAAATTATCCTCTAAAGTTGCTGGTTTAAAACCATATCATAAAAAAAGAAAATAGCAGTATCTATGAGTAGACACGGCTGCATGTTCAGGCTTCCGTATAGCGCTGTCCCGCTCGCTGCAAAGATTAAGCATTGTTATAAGGGGTGATGGTAACACCCCAGATTACCACAATACTTACATCAAATTTTCCCCCTCATTTTAAATGCTACCCTCAAAACATTCAGATATAAAATCAAGTGAAAAGTTGGCAGACTTGGCAGATTTGAATAGGTCAACATGCTGTTCACTGTACTACAATAATAAAACTAAGAGGGCCTCCGACGTGGGATGTTGTGTATTAAATATTGAATAATTAAAAAAAACCTTTGATCAACAAATTATAAAAAAAAGACTTTGGTAATGTCAAATATTTAAAAAAAAAACTATCAGGAAATGATTATTTTATTGACCCGGAATGTATTATTTTTAGATATTTATCCAAGTTCAAAGTTACGACAAACAATTTATAGTAACTGTTTACAAACGAATAGGAATCTTATCGTACATAATATTTTTTTTTATCGTTAGACATTTACAGTAAATAAACCTTTTTTTTTATTACTGTTCACTAGATCACGGGCAAGTAACGTGATTGTGTTGACGAGAACTTGTTCTTGGTAATAATTATTAATTTATCTGTAACTTTGTATGTTATAAATTAAATAAGGATGATTTATATGAGTCGTTTGAATCATTATTGGAGGTGTTAAAATCGTAAATGAAAGACACTGAATAATCTTTTCTTGTTCTCCGACCTTTTCCTTGAAGGCGGGGGGGGCGGGGGTGATTCGCAACTTAACACCAGCGTGCGTACCATGATAAACTCTAAAAAAGTTTTGCCTACACCAAATGTCACTATACTCCTATGGGCTCTTCGGAGAAAAGTGACTGAATGCGTTCTAGATGAAGGATTAGTCGAACACAAATATATGCCCTCTAAAACATAAATGTTTGATTTAAATTCCTTAAATGTATTTATTAAATTTATATTGAATAACAGAAAAAACTGAAAATAATTTAAAAATGTTCTCCCAACCATTCATATATGTTATATGGGGTATGGGGCATGGAAAAAGGCTGCAAGAATCATTCTAACTTTAGCCCTCATCTTCAATTTTTACACAGACGTGTAACATGGAGACTTTTTTACCTCTTCGAAGGAGTTTGGTATTGAATCGAGAGGTCCAAAGTCAGTTGCGTTTTATTTTCCCAAGTTATTCTTTTATACTTCACTGTCACTGAAGCTTTGGCTTCATTTATATATTGGCTATATATACATTTTTACTATCGCTCTGATGTATATACACTTTTACTCCTCCTTAACCATCCATAAGGAAGGCCTGAGCCCCTGCAGTGGGGACGTAAAAGGGCTGATGATGATGATGGTAGACGAAGATGCGTCCATGAAAGTTTCTCGCAAGTTTTTTCTCCCACTAGTCAGTATAATTATAAATCCACCGGCTAAGATCCCGTTGCCTAAAGGTATATGGGATATTATTTTCCTGAAACTGCGTTGGCAGAAGGAAGAAGACGCTGGAACGTGTGCGTATGCCAAAAATTACTTGAATTGGATGTTAATGGCAAATATTTCACGCATCTACAACTTGCCAATGACATTGTTATAATGGAAGAATTGATAGAAAAATGCTGTATATTTTCAATGCGTACACCTCACGCAACCAAACCAAGTACTGTTTGTTATGTAAAGACATCTTCAAATATGTGGATGAGCAACGTTTGATTGGCTGTGTCATATCTTTTCTTTCACATGGCCACAATACATGATGATCAACGGCTTTATCGCGAAACTAAAGCCCTGATTGCACTAATCCTTAACCAATCCTCATTGGTCTGCAGAAAGTTGATTTATCAACCTGGCAGATCATTCAGGAGATTGGTAATTAGCCATTTCGCAAACACTTTTTTCAGCGAGAGAATTTAAATTTACAAAGCTACGCTCACTCCTTACAAGTTGACTGATATCGTCGATAACGTCATGAACTACCCAAAAATATTAAACGTAAAACCAATGCTCAGATACACGTTATTATTAAAAAAATAAGCTAAACACATCGTGGGACGGTGAGAAAGGTACTCCGTCAAATTTAAAAAGTTCGTGATTGCAATGAATATGTTCTTTTGGTAACCAATCTAGGGGTAGTTTAACTATTAAAATATCCTATAATTGAATTAAATTGTAGGTACCCGGTGTTTTTTTTAGAATCACCAGTTACTTCAAAATATTATGGCACATGCTAAAACTTCGATCGCGATTATTGTTAGTCTTGTTTCAGTAACCCTAAGGTGTGAGTACTACGTATAGGTGTCCATCACACACTCAGCGGGGGTCAGCCGCGTGGCTATTGGTGGATCGCCTGTTAGCGCGATACTCAAATCATTCTAATTGGCTGATATTTGCCGTGCTTCGAAATTTACACTCGTATCTATAGTCGAAAAAAAGAATTACTTAAGATAACAAGGCATATATATTTTAACCAAATATTTTTAACCAATAGACGAGAATCTGCATGAAATAAGAATTGTTAATAGCTAATAATATTCTTACTATAAAGAGCTCTTACTTCATTCAAATTATTGTTTGTTTGTTAAAAATATTTCCTTAGGTTTACTCGAATAATTACTGATACGGTTGTAAGTTTTCTGTGCAGTACATCTATGCGCCACATCAATTGTTTACCAAGCTTTGTTTTTTAAAACAAATAATAATAATAGAATTGTACAAAATACGTAAATTCTTAATGGAGGAAGATGACATCTGTTACTTGTTTGTATCAGGGACTGTAGTTTTTAATTTCCAGTAAAATATGAATAAAAAGACTGTAGTTATTGACCTCGCGAGCGAAGTCACGGTTACATCATAGTATTATTGTGACAACCACGTAGTTGAACAATATTTTGTAGAACTATCATCTACGTTCTAATTAATTAGTGAAAAAATAATGAACACAATATGTTTACAAAAGTCAATTATATAAAAATACAGTGGTAGTGTACATGTTATCTGTTTGGCCCGTGGGTCAAACTACGGTCCAATTACCGAGGGTCAAACGTAAGTGTCGATCCTCGTTCGAATATCTCATGGTTATCTTGACATTAGGGAGATCGTGGCCTCGGAGATGTTCGTGTAATGAGCTCATTCTCACGGGGAAACGACGCAAAATCATCGAAGTTTTGATCTTATTACACTCCAGGAGCGTGGAGCTCGATTGCGCAGTGGTTTCACGTTTCCATTGAGATTGTGTAGGTTAAGTCACTTTTGCATAGGCCAGTTATTGGATGTGTGGCCACGAGTTTATCCCGAGCTCCTGCCTGCTTCAGAACACATATTAAGTGGTTGGTCTAGGTTGCATCTGTATATTTTAAGAAGGAACAATAACCCGACACACATTATAAGTAGAAAATAATATTTTATGTATGGAGGTTCTTTTCATTCGTTCATATGAAAAGAAATAAGTCGTAAGCTTCCTGGTGGTTTGTGCAACATTCTGACCATATCATGTGTTGTCTCCAGGTGGATGCTTGACGTCTGGCAGATACCCGTTCAAATGTATGCAGTTCGAGCTGCCTCCAGATGTAGAGCCAGAGGAAGTCACAGTTGTTGAACTATGGTTCTATAAGGTGAGGAGATACGGTTTCAAAAGATAATATTTTATGAGAAGATACAGTTCTCATAAAATATCGTTTGCTAGGTAGGTGGATAATTGGACTAAGGCTTTGATATATCATATAGAGATGGAGGCATATTCTTCAATGTTTATATTTGGACTGATCCTCAAAACAACTGTATGATTTTATAAGCATTTTATTTTAGCGGTATCTTAGTTTAATATCTATAATTGCATCTTTTATCAGAGCTGATCAAATAAAAAGACGCCTTTGTTCCCAGCACTAAACAGAAAACTCTATTTCGTGAATAACAATTTTTCCAATTAATTTTTTCTTGTAGGAACGAGACCCTCTCGATGAATACAACCAAACCTTCGTGATCTCTGAAGCAGCTCATTGGGACAGCCAGCAGCAGTTTAAGAAGACAAAACCTATCGCCATCAAGGAAACCAGCATCGGGGAGGGATGGGTGCGAGTCGAATTAGCTTGGGCAGTTCGTGTGTGGCTTGAAGAACGGGAGGCCAAGCATACACTCCACGTGGCTTGCAGAACGTGTCAGGTTGGTTACTACGTGTGATTTTGCAATATAAAACATCTGCTGCTCTAGACTGCTAGTAAATACTAGCAGTCGTAAAATGTCACCAAAATATTCAGGGCTATTTTTACAGGGATAATTTAAATTTTTATCTTCCATAGCTGCGGAGAGCACCCATCTCGTTTCACAAGAAGCACCGTCCATTCCTGGTGCTGTACACTAAGTATGCTGGCAAGAGAAGAAGAGGTCGGGCGCTGGAGTGTGGTGCTACCACCAGCGAATGTTGCAGGGAACATCTGTTTGTTAGCTTCAAGGTATGCTAGGGTCTAGATTCTAGAATGTATTCAGCCAGATGCACTAAATCTTTTATTGCTAATCGTTCATTGGGCCCAAATATGTCGGTCATCTGATGTGGTTATGATTTCATATATGGGACTCTATATACTGTAATTTGATCAGTTTAAACGAATTCCTCATAGGTATCATCTGGCATAAAATATCGAAGCAATATGTAATTATAATTCCAAATAATGAAAAAATAAAAAAATTTCCTCGTATTCCAGGATCTCGGCTGGGACGATTGGATCATACGTCCAGCAGGGTATCACGCATACTTCTGCAAGGGCACCTGCTCACCGATTTCTGCAGTCACCATTGACAATAGTTACCATCACAACATCATTAGAGTGAGTTTCTTTGTGGTCTCATACTGATTCTATCTTAACAAAGATTTATATTATTTTAATAATAAGCAATACATTGAAATATTTAGTATGTCTGTGGTCGAGTTGAAATACTTACAAACAATTTCCAAGAATCACTAGTATCACCATCTCTCTTGAGTTCTGCTAAACATGAAGTTCAAAATTGATTACAGAAATTTAGCTTTTTATATCATGCTTATATGTATATTGTTTGCGTACATTGCTTAGAATACTTCGGCGCAAAATATAGTTAATGATATATATACTCTTATTTTTTTATTCTTTATCTAAAGAGGAAGGGTTTTATAGTTTGTTTGCATTGTAAAGGCTAGAAACAACTGGATCGGTTTGATGATGAGTATGAAATATTATTAATTTTATCTATTTATTTTTCAGAAATATTTTTATACGGTGTCGAATGAGAAACGGATTGAATTCAATCCGTGCTGTGCACCCACAACATTCAGCTCCCTTCAGCTTCTGTACGTAGACTCCAACAATACTGTCACACAGAAGACACTGCCTAACATGGTAGTGGAGACCTGCGGGTGTATGTGATCAAGCAGCTGACATAACTAGTGACTGTGAAAGTGATATAGAATATTCTGAACTTAACCAAGTGATATTAGACAATATTTCATAACGCGTTTCGAAATCTCTATTAATACAGCCAGTTGCATAAACGTCCATTAAAATTTCATTAGTTTAAAGCGACATTATCCATACAAATATGACATGAATTAGAGTTTAAAGGCGTCATTAAACCATAATTGAAGTTTGTGCAACTGACCGTCAGGTTTTTAAATGATCCTAGAAACCACAAGCCAAGGATAGAGATGTCGTTGAAGAACTTATTAAATTTAAGTTGTAGCTAAAATTTATTATCTATTTAGGAAATTACTTTGGAAAGTGTTCCGAAGAACTATAGACATTAAAATTTCATATAAATTCGATTGACAAAATTCAAAACATTTATCGAATAAGTTGAGTGTGGTAGTATTATGGTTATATAGAGGGTTTTTAATCAGTTGTGTTATTTTGTAAAGAAATGCATTATCTTTTTTTATTTGATTGAACTTCTTTGGTTCTGGTGTTTTGGAGCTTCTAAGTTGTGATCTACGCTGCATATGACGTTGATTTTTTTTTACAGAAAAGCAAAGTGATGCAGGTTTTTACCTAAGGCATCGGAAAAATGGTATATTTGTATATTTTTAGAAATAATGGGACCAACTTAAGATTTTGACTAAAGTTTATTTATGATTATTATGTCAAGCAATAATTTAAATGTTTTCAAAGTTTGTCTCAGTTACTCTATCTTGTTTGAATTCTTATTAGACACAATGATCACAACATGTTGAAGGTTAACAGATTAAATCGTGCGAAGTCCGAATCTCACAAGTTAATAATTGTGGGTTTTATTAAAAAGTTAATGTTGACAGAGGAATATTAAAATGGCTCCCATGAAAAACACATGAGCAAATGCAAAATCTGTATGAATACTTTATATGGGAAAAGTGTGTAAGTTTGTCTTTTCATGTTAGAACTGAGTGTTAAGTGTAAGTTTTACACTAACGCGTTCACTAGTGAGCGCGTTAAGAATTTGTATGGAGATTTGCAGTTCTTGGTAGTTACCGCTCGGGGCGCTGTCCCGGATTCCATACTAAAATCTTAACGTGCTCAAGATCGACAGTGAACGTAATCGTCAAAAAACTTACACTAAGCGCTCTGAGTGCCATCTTTCGTATGGAGATATTTGCAAAGCTTGAGGGTAATATAGGAAAAAAAATCTTTCTTTCCCTTTGATATTAAATAAGTAGAGGACCCAGAGGCTTGGAGCAACTATGGTAAATGAACGACTTTAATATTAATACTATGTAGTGACAATTACTTTTCGAAGCGAAAGGGTTCGAATTTTCGAAATTCCAATCAAAAATACTAATGAATTTCTTAAGAACACTGTTGAATTATGTTTGTTTTAAAATACTAGAATTCGTTTTATTTTGTATTTTTTATACAATCCATCGCCTTTGTAAATATATTTCATATAGCGAATTATCAATTTTTTTTTAATAAATGCATTTAACGTTTTTGTACATTTTGTAGATAATAACTACTTAGGTATTTTTTACTTAATTAAGATGAGTGAAATTTTCATATACATGGTAAAAGTAGAAACATGTATAAAAAGGAAATAATTTAATGATACATTTTTCAGGGTTACCTATATGAAAAAATCTACTTTACTCAAATGCGTATGGAAATTATGATCGAATATGTTAATTTGTAACTTTAAGTATGATAAATTATCAGCTATTTTTAATAAATTTTAGATGTTTATTTTTTTACCTCAAAGTCTGTTGCAATACTTTTTATTAAATATAATATGTATGTACACACTAGGTCAGTTTATAAAGTGGTTATTAGTATTTTTCCCCGAATTAGTCGACTTTGATTTGATATTTATTTAGATTTCGATATTTGCACACGCTCAAGTAAGTAAATGGTTTGTTAGCAATATGAATTCACATACTTTCAAGATTCGTCATAATTTTATTATAAGTTTCTCCTATAAACTATGGAAAAGAAACATATCATTTTATAGAGACTCTTTTAAAAAATAATAATAAAAGGTTTTGCAACTGATGTTAGACTATTTTATAAGCCAGAATTGTTCCTGTATTTAAGAAATTTAGATTATGACAAAATATATACATAGCATGGTGTAAGTCATCTGTTATTTTATAATTTATGTAAATGTTCAAACTAAATAAAATATCAATGACGGCTAGTGACATAGGAAAGAATAGACGTACCTACTTAGGTAATCAAACCATAATCTATTATCTCTTAAAGGTTTTAGGGACTATATCGCATATCTCAAAGCCAAAGCTTTTTACAGCTCGTAATAATAACTAAAAGTGGAAATATATTTCTGTATCATGTTGTATAGTTTTCGTTGCTGTCGTTTAATAGAATAAAACTGTACTCTAATAAAACTTTATTCTTAGGATATATATTAATAAATAACATTGTTAAAAATATTATAATAGCGCATATAGCAATAATAAAATACAGTAACATACAGTACAACTAATGGGGCTAAATATTATATCTGCACAGAATTTCTAAGCGCGGCCAACGTCAACCAATCCGAATGATGAAAGTATCGCGCCAACGGGTCACTAAAATCTACGCGCCTGTCCTGCGATTCTGCAAAAATCCAAACCCGAAATCGAATCGGTGTCCAAATTTACTACAAAAAGCGGCATTCTCTTAATCTTGAATTGTTAATAACGTTTCGGAGCATAAGTGAAGTAAGTTTAGAAATAATATAGGGATAGAATATCGGAGACACGTATAACCAATCATATTGTTTGGTGTTTTGATATAAAAAATGGAATCAATAGAATTTCTTTACTAAATGACGTCAATTTGGACACATGAATGAACTCTAATTTGGGTTCGGATTTTTACAGAATCACCTGCTGACGTCAGCAGCGTGTGAATGCAACGGACACATAACGCGTTGTATTTCACACCTTATTATAGTTATTGTAACAATATTCATTATAAAATCTCTGCTCTGCGCAAACGAAGATTCATCATATTTGTTGACGGTGAAGATGTTATATATTATTTTAAAATAACATTTAAATATCTGAAGCAATTATCACACACATTTAAGATACGATAATATTTTGAAAACCATTATAGATGCCACACGTATGTTCCGTACAAGTTATATACATATAAATAAAAGTAGAGCCCTTGGATTCAGACAGCTTATCAGACGATGATTCTGATCTGGAATTTGGTATGAGAATTGTCTTAGCTCAATCAAAGTCTAGACCAATTGGGCTAAAAAATCACAATCATAGAAACATATATTTCTATCTTAAGATATATTTCCGTATTGCTTGACATCATAATATGAAAATATTATATTATCTTAGCCAGGTGTGTATGGCAGGCGATATTTATCGATATAACTAATATTATATATAACATAATAGGGATACGCGATAGATACTCGGATCTGTAGATGTAATATACAACCTTTAATTCCTTTTAAAGTAGGTTTTATTTGATTGAACCTCTTTTCTTTGACAGCGCATCAGTAATTGTTTGGGAATTATATTAAAATAATATTAAAATGAAAAAAACATGATGTGAAAATCCGTGAGATTCACTTAATTATACATATATTTCTATTAAACAATTATTTCAAACAGACGTACAGTTTAATTATTGTTTATATATTATATTTGAATTAAATATAAAAAATATGTTGGAATACTAAACTTAATTTAATGTAAGGGCACTGCTTCCATACATTTAACCGACGTACTTAACTTTTGATAAAAATCTGACTTAAACCAATTACCGTTTTAGTGTCCAAGTATTAAAAATAGAATGTAAGTAATATATTTTTTGATAAATTTCATTAAAAGTAATATATTTTATATGGGCTATTTTTTTTAATCCAAATTGAGAGATGTATGCATTTTATTATAGTTATCTAAAACAGCGGTGCTACGGTGTAATTAAATCACCGTGTCATCAACCTCATTCGCCTATTAATGTCCCCACCTTCCCTATGGATGGAATCGCATAGAGTCGGACTCACGCAGGCCCACTGCGCATTGGTGGGTGTTAACGAATGCAGCCGGAACCAACGACTTAACGTATCTCCCGAAGCACGCAGGAGCACGAGATAGTAAATTTTTAGTCACTCGTCCTATTACCGGCCCTTAAAAGTCGCTTAACAACCGTATAGTCTAACATCCGAACCTAAATTTACCTTCACCGGGTTGATAATGGAATAAAACTTATTATATAATTAATTTAGTATATTAGAAAATATATTAAAAATGGGTTCGCTAAAAAAATCCTGGACAGAATATTTTTAATTATTTAAAAAAAAATTTTTTTTTTATTAAATGTTGCAACATCAAGATAATAAGAAAAATTTAATTCTGACTTAAAGTATAAAACATATAGAATGTGCAGACGTTGGGTTGTCTATTATTTACCTGGACGAACTACTGGGTTGTCAGGTATAAACAGGTATATCGATGCCAGTTAATTTCACTTGATTTGATAATAAAAATCGGCTGTCCACTTTATTTCTCTTTAATTTGTTTCCAGAAAGAACAAAAAAAATTTGAAAGCAAGTTATTGATATTTTTACTATTTACGTCATCATATATTAAATTACAAAACTATTCTTTTATAGATAAATTATTATTATACTTATAAGTCAATATATATGAATATATATTTATTTAGCTAATGTTATATTGCTTAATATTGTATTTGCACTATATTGAATATATTAGATTGTTATGAATTTAATTAATTTTTTTTTTGCAAATCAAATGTCAGTTGCTCCAAAATAACGTGCACTGTTTACTATACAGAGGGGTAGTAGTACCTCCACCCTCCATATTTTATATTCCGAGCATGCGCACTTTCATATATTTAGGGTCCGATCAGATGCGACTGCAATGTTGGGTCCTTTACTATTACACGGTATACTTTCCTCGGATCTCTCTGTCACTCACTTTCCCACGCGTTAAAATTTTAATTGTTAAAATTCGCAAACCCGTATTAGGACCGAATTTTTTGCAGACAACCATCAATGTGTTCGTAATGAAACAGCGCTTATGTTGATATACATTTTTTTTTATTATCATT